GAGAGAAAATGTTTTGAGAATGATGTACAAATGCGCTTTACACAATTGATGTGTGTATGGATTGCGATAACAGTTGTATGAGCCCCTAAGAAAATGTTAAAAAAAAGAGTTTTGGGGAAAATAAGTTTCCTTCTTAATTACTGATGCCTATACAAATATAAGTATATAATTTTAATTTTTGCGTGTGAGCACAGCACCATGGCTGGCTTACAGAAGGCACTTAATAAATGTTCACGCTGGCTGCTGACAATCACCTGAAAGTAACAATCACTGAGGGCACAGGTACACCTAGACCAGGCTTTCGTTCGTGTTTACATTTTGAGAAATTTTTATTAATTAATTTATTTCACAGATTAAAAGTCCCTTGTCATTAAAAAACTTAGAATTTTTATTTTCCTCAGGAACTTCCAGTTAAATGTTCAAATTTAATGTTTATCTTTGTCTTCCAACCTTAATATGAACGACTTACAAATTTAATGCAAAGTCTTGTCTAAGACTTAGACCCTCACCAGTAATAATAATAACTCTCATTCATTTAAATAATATGAAAATTAGGAATTTGAATAACTCCTATACTACTTACTGTAAATACCTTTTTTTCCTCTACTATATTTCTGAGATAATGTATCTACTCATATCACCAAGAAAATCCAGTTACTATTATTAGAATGTTGAAATCATCAAGCATACTACATATTGCAAAACAACTTAATAAACAAAAACTTCATTCACCCTGAGAAATATTTAAAAGGACATTACCTGAATGAACTTACAATTTAGTGACCTTACTGCCACAGTCAAATGGGACACGTAGAGACATGAATTAGAAGAGATGGTCATTTCTTGCCCTTTGGTACGTAGACACCTTCATCACTTTAGTAAAATGAAAACTAAGCAGTTGGTGAACATTACAATATGCAAATTAGCTAGTATGCCTGCATTTTGTTTTTCTTGTAAAATTGAGTACCCCTTTATCTCAAGCTATTTTTCCACTGAATTCAAACGACTATTTTAGAAGTTCTCTGTTACTCTCCTAGGTAGAATAAAAGTCCCTCAAAGGTGTCCACATTCTAATATCCAAACAAACCAATCCCTTTGCTGTTGAGTCCCTTCTGACTGATAGCAAAGCAAAAGTACCGAATAGAGAGGAGGTCCTATAAGGTTTCAAAGCTGTAACCCTGTACTGCCACATCTTTCGCCCCTAGGTTTACTCAGGAGTTTGAACCACTGACCTTTTGCCTCGCAGCAGAACACTTGAATCTGTCCATTAGGTAACCTTCCTCTAATGCCAGTCATCAATAAAACGTTACTATATGCGACAAAGGGCTTTTGCAAATGTAAGTAAAATTAATATGAGATTTTGATATTATCCTAGATAATCTGGTTGGGATATATTAAATAAAATCTTAAGATTCTATGAAAGGTGAGACCCTCAGTTTTGTTTTGAAAAACATTGACTAGTCAGAGAAATACAACACTGCTAATTCTGACGATGGTGGAAGGAACTGCTAGTCAAGGAAAAGTAGTCTCTAGAAGCTGGAAAAGATGAGGGCGGGGGGAAATCCTCTCAGAGCCTCTACAGTGGTTCTCAACCTGTGGGTCACGACCCCTTTGGGAGTCGAATGACCCTTTGACAGGGGTTGTCTAAGACCATCAGAAAACACATAAATGTTTCACAATATATAATTACATATTGTTTTGTGATTAATCACTATGATTTAATTATGTTTAATTATCTTCAATCTGAAACAATGAAAATACATCCTACATATCAGATATTTACATTTCAATTCATAACAGTAGCAAAATGACAGTTATGAAGTAGCAATGAAAATAATGTTAGGGTTGGGGGTCGCCACAACATGAGGAACTGTATGAAAGGGTCGCGGAATGAGGAAGGTTGAGAACCACTGCTCTAAAAAGTAATAAAGGCATGGCAATATTTTTATTTTAGCCCAGATATATATATTGTTTTATCTCAGAACTGTGAGGTAATAAGTGTGTGGTGTTTGAGCCACTAGCTTTGTGACAATTTGTTACAGAAGAGTTTGAAAACGAATACAGTGAACTCCATAGCACTATGCTCAATGAGTTTGGTAAAACTTCTATTTTCCATGACAGCATCCTGTTACACTGCTATTTGAGCAATCATTATTGCAACCTGTTTGACTCTTCTACTGTAAACTTCCAAAGGGCAGAACCAGCATATATTAGAGACATCTTCAGTACCGTGGACAGTACCACGGCCAGGATAGTGCAACATTTGGCGTGGCGTCCTAGTAACTTAGTTGGTACATGTTAGGCTGCTCACTGTAAAGTTAGCGGTTCTAGACCACTAGCTTTTCCCTGGGAGAAAGATGCAGCTTTCAACCCGTACATTTGGGGGTCACTATGATTCGGCATAAAATCTATGGCAATAGTTTTTTTAAACCAATTAGTTCACATTTTAACTATCCTCTTTGTAGATATGCGAAATAACCCTTCGTTTAAAAAATGTAAGTTTAAATATGACAGCCTCTGCCTACATGGCATTTATAAATGTAGTAGGTGCTAGATTGGAAGTTAGCTAATGTGTAAATTCGCATACTAAAGCAGAAAATGATCAAGGGTATCCATGCTAAGGAGTAGTAGAGGTACTGGATGAAAAGAGGCTACATTGTAGATGATGGAATGAACTCATGGCATCCAGAGAATATAGACACTATTTATCACTAGGCTAATATTTCTAATTGTCTATGAGATGCTATAAAATGGTGTTTCCCAAATTATTTCTACACTGTCCATTTGAATCTCATTTCCTGATTAGGATTCATTCTACTTACGGATGTAATATCTCATTCTTTATTTCTCTCTCCTGGCATGCTTAAGATTTCAAATTATTTATAAGCATTAATCTTTGACTGAATTTATTTTTGAGTATTGTTTCTATATACATGGTTCTTAATCTTTGTCCCCACTTTACATTATCTAGTGTAATTTAAAAGGTTTTGCCTAAATATACCTTGATTTAATTCTGGTGAGATAGTTAACTCATCCATCATGTACAGATTCTGCCTTTTGTTAATAAGGTTACCTGTGCAGATACTTGTTTTGAAAGTCTGGGTTTCATTTACTCATGGAAAAACATCTCATATTCAGGTCAGATAGAGAGAATTGTTGCTTTAGGATTGACCTATGCTACAGTTTCAGATAGTGTTGAGATGCCCAACTCAGTACATAATCTAATATTAATTGGAACAAGTGTATTTTTTCACCTCTCAGAAAATTACTCTCATCATCTGCTACTTGACAGTTTCCCTATTGAATCTCTGAGCAGTTTAGTTTCAGGTATTAGATCCTGTCCTTAGCTCCTGTTCTGCTAGAAATAATAAAGCAAAGACTCACTGAACCCTACTGTCACAGTTAGTAGATATATGCCCTGAGGGAAAAATAGATGACTTCCTATTACTAATTCATCAGCTATAAATAAAGTAAACCATCAAATCATATGGAGATGGCTTTTATAGTGGAATTCAAACCTAATCTTTTCTCCTGCTTCTTCCATAGGAGTAAACTTCCTTCTTACCAAATCACTTGAACTCCCTTCTAAGAAAACCCACATCATATGACCCTTGAATAGCTTTCTTAACCTCTTTCTGGTTTCTATTTTTTTCCCAGTTTCAGATGAACTTGCATAGCCTCTATTTGAAGCTGCTTCATTTTCTTTACATGAGTGGGGTTATACCTGCCAATTTTAACATTTTTCACAATGTATTATAATTTCATGAAGTTTTGGACGAGTACTCACTCATCAAATGATCTGTACTGATTCACATGCTGCTGTAATTCTGAAAGCCATGCCACCAGTACTTCAAGTGCCAGCAAGAGCACACGTGGGTCTCAGGTTTTAGCAGAGCTTCCAGGCTAAGCTATACAAGAAATACAATAAGAGAAAGGGCACTTCTGAAAGGTTATCCACTAAAACCCTAATGTATAGCAACAGAATATTGTCAAATATAGTGATTAAATTTGAACCCATCAACATTGAAGACATTCAAAACATGATCTAGAAAGAGTGCCTACTCAAAGTAGACTTAATTATATGGAGGGAGCAAGACTTTGGGGACCTTTGTTTGCTGATTGGGCATGAACCAGATGAGAAGAAAGGGCTTCAAACATGCATTGATAATCAGAATGCAGGCTGTAAAAAGCATGAAGCTAGGAAAATTATAAAGTGTCAAAATGCAAAGGAAGGTTAGGGGGAGAAGGGGGAGAGAAAGAGAGAGGGGGGGATAATGGAAGAAACCGGTCGCAGTGCTCGACTCATAATCATACACCCCTCTACCGGGGGAAGAGCAACAGAAAACATGAGGGAGGGGAGACAGTGGTCAGTGTGAGAGATGAAAATAATAACAATGTACAATTTTCAGGGGGGTGTGAGGGTGGGGCGCGGGGGTGTGTGAAGAGCTGTTACCAAGGGATCAAGAGCAAGCAAATGTCTGGAAAAGAATGAGGTCAACATGCACACACATGCCTGATGCAATTGATGTATGGATTGTGATAAGAGTTGTATGATCCTCCAATAAAATGATTTTTTTAAAAATCAAGCCTAGATTTGCAGTATTGAAGGATCCTAATGGGGCGGGAGGAGTTGAGCAATGCAGGGAACTTCAAGAGAAGATGGACGAGATGTGAAAGACATGCTCCCATTTAAAGAGGTAGTATTTGATCAAGAAGGAAATTGAAGGAAAAAGTCTGTTTCACTCAAGGAGTTGGCAAAAACAAGCCTGTTGTAATGGACTGAATACCAATTGAGATGTTTCAACAAATCAATATAAAAGTAAGAGTTTTACTTGTCTATGGCATGAAATTTGGAACACAGCTACCTGGTCAACCTTGAAGAAAATAAGCATGTTCATTACCAAAAAAAAAGGACTCAATAGAATGTAGCAGTAATCAAATAATATCATTAAAGTATATACAAGTATAGTTTTGATAAAGATATATTTTAATTTATAAAATGGCTACAATAATTTATCAATAGGGAACTTCCAAATATTCACGCAGAATTTAGAAGAAAACATAGAAGGAGATTTATCATTTTGAAGAGTGGGAAATTTTGAATACTTTATTGTCCCAATGCTGACTTTGTACATAGGCCCAAAAGGCTGTTGGTAGACCAAGACAAGGAGCTACTGAGGGCTTTAAAAATCAGAAAAGGTGTGCGTCTGTGGTGCAGTCTATCACCGTACTAATTTAACCTGTACACTAAGCAGATACTCCGAGAAACTTGAAAATATGAAGAAAATCATGGTCTCAGGTGAGGAGGAAGGTTCATTAACAACGAGTAATATGCAGATGACACAGCCCTGTTTGCTGAGAACTTAGAACAGTTACTGATAAAAACCAACAACTACTATGGATTTCTTTAAAATATACATTAAACAAAACTTCTCAAGACTGGGACAGTAAGAAACCAAAAATGTTGCCATCTAGTTGTGTACCAACTTTTTGTCTGGTTTTCAAGTGTTTAAATCTTCATGAGAACAGATACCCTCATCTTTCACCCTAGAAGCAACATATGGATTTGAACCAGCGTGCAAGCCTTCTTGACTGAGGCTAACCTTGAGTGCCACAAAGGCTTCTGGACCATTAAGCAATATTACTATAAACGGAGAAAAAAATGAGTTTATCTAAGGATTTTATTTCACTTAGATTAATGACACCCATGCAAGCAGTAATAAATCAATCAAAGGGCATTGGGAAAAGCTGCTGCAAAAGACCTCTTTGGCATATTAAACAACAAAGATATCACTTTGAGGGCTAAATTATATTTGACTCCAGTTATAATATTTTCAATTTTCTTGTATATATGAAAGTTCCTATTTATGAATAAGGAAGATTGGAACATACATTTGAATTAATGCATGAGGACATGCATTCAACACATTGAATCATTGTGTTGGTAAAGAATATTGAATGTATCATAGACTGCCAGAAGATTGACACATATATTTTGGAAGTAGAAGCAAAGTTCACTTGGACGCAGTGGTTAGACTTCACCTGTCATACTGTGGTCACATTATCGGGATGACCAGTAACTGGAGAAGGATCTGTGTTCATGAAAGCAGTGGGTCAGCAAGAAAGAGGAAAGCCCTCAACAGCATGGATTGACACCGGGCCTCAAACAGTTGGGCAAACAGCAACAACAAATTTTTGAATGATGATACTACATAATGATGAATTATGATATTACAATTTAATTAAATATTAGTCTTTACCTGTCATGTCTGCCTTCTAGGAGGTCTTCTTATGTATAGGAGGGATGTGAGAAGTAAAACTATTAACTTATTTTATTAATTCCTAAATCATTTGGAAATATTATAATATCCCTTTTAAAAGATTGTTTATTCAAAGGAGTATATGTATTAATTCAATTTGTAGTATTGTTTTCTTACTAGTGTATAAAATAGTAAAATGTGGCAAGATGAGATATGTACTTTTTCCTTATTAAGCTATTGCTATATTTGAACACTCATTTAAAGTCCCAAAACATTAAAACATTAGCTTCTGGCTATTGGAATTTCTCATTGTGTGAAGAAAATCTCAGATGAAATTTCCTTGTGACTATTAACCATCGACCCAAAAGGGAAACATGTAAGAGGAAATTTGTCTTGCTGACAGCTCACCTGAACTCTTTTCTAATTTATTTTCAAATAAGAGAACTACATCTTGTTACATTTCCCAAGAAGTATTTGGTATTTCTAAAATTAGTGAGCTTAGATATATGAGTGTTTCAAAACTCGTGGAAAAGTGTAATTAAGAGGCAATGGGATTTTTTTCACAGTCTTTTATTTTCAGTTTTATGAAGAATAAGAAGTAAAATCAAGTCCCATTGGTAGTTTCCATCTGGATAGATATTTTGACTCAGACCTGTGAAATTATTATTTTGGGGTAACATGTCAAGTCAGTTAGTGTGCCCAAAAAACAAAACAATGCTGGGGAAATGAATAAGCTCTCAACATACATTATCTGTTACTCTCAATTCCAAAGAAAAGTGATCCTATACGATTTTCCATCACTACTTCTTTGTCAGCTCTTACTAATAGCAATTCTACAGGGTACCACTTAAATGATAAATCGATTTTTCTTAGGCTCCCCTTAAAGCTACCTGAAATAGAAATACAACTCTAGTGATTGTACATAATAGTTTCTCTTAAATCAACAAATTTCATTGTATAAAATTTTTTTCATTCAGTAGTTTCATCATATCTTCAAGTCCTACAATCCATGGTTTGTTTTCTGCTCCACTATAGTTATTTTCGACTGCACTGTCATTTTCAGACATGCTACTTTGGGTTGCCAGATGATGTGTGATTTTAAATTCAATGCACTGTTTATTAAACTACATTGTTACCCCAGGATACCCTTATCACCCTGCCATACAATCGATTCTAAACAGTACAATACAAACAAAATATCTATGAAACAAAAGGAATCATCTATAAGTTATCAATTAAATATTAACAGGAATAGTATGTGAAAATTATAGAGCAAATAGGTTGGTCTGACTTAACATGGAAGAAATTAGGCAAATAAGAATATCCAGGGACTATGATTGCTGGGATTAGGAAGGAGTAGTAGCACATTGTATACTGGTAATCTGTGGAAGTAGGTGCTTAGAATAATTTTATGGTAATTGTAAAATATTACATAAAGCATATTTATAATCTCTTTTAGATGAATAGATTATTATTGGAGGATGAAAAGTAGAAAAAGGAAAAAGACATGGAAGAAATGAAG